GATTTGTCTCTGTGTGTCGCCCACACACCTGTGTTCACTCTCACCACCTGCCCCATCACTTCCTGCTTCAGCTCGCTCACCAACCCACTGTCTCACGGGCTTTGTCTTATGTGTTCTTTTGAAACTGCTTTCATCCCACTTCCCCTTGTTCTTTGCATGTAGGTAGGAAATAGATAAAGATGTGTTTGTGCGAGAGCCCTATTGTGAGTATGTGTTGTGATGGGATCACAGTGCAGAGTCAGAAGGGTCTCCAAAAACAATCGTATACTCTTTGAGGGCAAACACCAATGTATGCCTGGGAATGTGGGGTGGAAGGGAGGTGTATATTTGGGAAGTATGTGTGTATGGGTTGTAAACGTACAAAACGTCCTTTAAAAGAATGGGTTCAGATTTATTTTTTGCTTTTTAAATTATTTGAAGGAATCCTCATGCACTGTTGGTGGGAATGCAAATTGGTGCAGCCACTGTGGAAAACAGTATGGAGGTTCCTCAAGAAATTAAAAATAGGGCGCCTGGGTGGCTCAGTTGGTTAAGCAACTGCCTTCGGCTCAGGTCACGATTCTGGAGTCCCGGGATCGAGTCCCACATCGGTCTCCCTGCTCAGCGGGGGGTCTGCTTCTCCCTCTGACCTTCTTCCCGCTCGTGCTCTCTGTCTCTCATTCTCTCTATCAAATAAATAAATAAAATCTTTAAAAAAAAAAAAGAAATTAAAAATAGAATTACCATATGATCCATTAATTCCACTACTGGGTTTTTGCCCAACAAAAGTGAAAACACTAATTCAAAAAAAATATATATGCACCCCTATGTTTACTGCAGAATGGGTTCAGATTTAGATGGAACAGAGGAGATGCTGGTACGGGAAATGGGTCCAAGCAGGCTAATTGTTGATATGGGCTTCCATCTGGAAGGGCATCCACCAATGTCCATGATGGGTTGCCAAGTGTGGTGAGTTGGATCGAAATAGGAGAAAGAGCTCAGACACTGGAACCAGAGTACATAGGTTTAAATCTCAGCTCAAGCATTTATAAGCCACTCAACTCTAAGAGTTGAGTAACCTGCCTAATGTCTCAATTTCATCCCCTGTAAAATCGGGATAAATATACTACTTACTTCCTAGAATCATTAAATGAGATAAAACATGTAGAACACTTAGTCTAGTGGCTCTGCACATAGTAAGTGCCTGGTAACACTAGTTAGCCATAATTATGGGAATATTGAGGACTGGAAGGAACACTCATGGCCAACAGAAAGGGCTGGTCTACTGGACAATGTCATTCTGATCCTTTGTTAAGCTATTTCCACTCAGGCATAGTGTCAGACAATTACAGGACATCTTTTCTAAAATACCTGCACTGATGAAAAAAATAAGGCACACTGAGATTGACTTTCCCAGAGCCATTCAGCCAGTGAGCAGCACAACCTGGCTTCAAAGAGGCTCTGAGTCTTTAGACCCTACTCCATGCTGCCATATTTCATCCTTGACAGTTGAATTCTTGCTGCTGGCATCACCAACACAACTCTCCAATCTCTGTATATACATGTTCACTCATTCAACAAGATTTTTCTGACCCACCACTGTGTGTGGATCTCTGTGCTAGGTTCTAAGAATGAAACCAGACATGGTCCCTTTGTTTATGGAGCATACAGGCTAAAAGGGAGGAAAGACTAATCAAGCAAACTAAATAAATGAGACAGAAGTGAAATTGCAACTAGCAAGGAAAGGCTATAGGGACAAGGACTATAGCTGCTGCGCACTCCTGTGTCCTTGTCACTGAGAACAGTGCCCTCCTTGTGGCAAGTACTGGCGCGTACTCGCTGAATGAATGCTAGCAAGTGCACTGTGGTGCGAGTGGCCTTCCGAAGGCCTGTCAGTGTGGCTTTTGAAGGGGCTGTTATATGAGAGTGTGCAGCGGAGGACGGGCCCACTCACAGAGGTCAAGGAAGGCTTCTCTCAGGAAGGGATGATGGGAGGTGAGTGGGTACTACCCAGGTGAAGCAGGCTGGGTGGATTACAGGGATTGGAGATGCTGCAGTAAAGGGCATAAGAGACTCTGGAAGGAAGGAACGCGCAGTCCAGCTGAGCAACAGTCTCGGCGGCTGTACCAAGGGAAGCAGTAATAAGAGGGGCTGCGTCACAGGTGTTGGCAAGCAGCGGAAGTAACTGCAATACCTTGCATTTATACAAGTTTCAGTTTGTCATGCCTCCGTAGTAAATATTGTCTTATGGACAATTCACAGTGAGAGGCAGCAGGCCAAGAAATATCATCCCCATTTTAGCTGGGTGAACTGAGGCCTGCAGACTTGGCATGTTGTTGAAGTCACGCATCTAAACATAGCACCTGCCGGGCTCTCTCTCTGTAAGACCTACACAGTCCTCTCACTAGCCTTTTAAAGAAGGTATTGATACCCCAATAGCACCCATTGATGAAAGTAAGGCTCAGCAAGATGAAGTGGCTGGCATGTGGCTGGCTGCATTGGGATATGAAGCTATGTCTTCCCTGTGGACAGGACTGTATCTCCCCACATTCATATGTTGAAGACGTAACCCCCAGTGTGTATTTGGAGATGGGGCCCATCAGGGAGTAATTAAGGTTACATGAGGTTATAACGGTAGGGTCCTGATTCCATAGTATTTGGGTCCTAATAAGAAGCCATGCCAGAGAGCCCTGTCTTTCTCCTCCCACCTCTGCCCTTTCTGTCTGTGTCACTCCACACACTCCACACACTCAAAAGAAAGGCCACGTGAGGACAAAGCAATTGTCTACACGCCAAGAAGAGAGCACTCATCAAAAACGGATGATAGATCTTCCTGGCTTGATCCTGGACTCCTGGCCTCCAGAATTGTGAGGAAATACATTTCCATTGTTTAAGCCCCCCAGCCGATGACAGTTTGCTAGGGCAGCCCTAACAGGCTAGTACAGGTGTGCATACATTTGCTGTTGTTACCTGCTATGGCACATCTCTCTCATCAGAGGTAGGGAAGCACAAGAACCTAGATCATCTGCTTATCAGTCCTAGGTTCACTCTCTTCGCCATATTCAATACCCCTGGTGACCCCACTCAGAGGGCGATGGCAGGGTGAGGGTCAGGGCATGACACCCACCCCACTCTTTCCCCTCACTTTTATCAAAACCAAGAGATGGGCAGTCATAGACCTCGAGGCTTGGGTAGCGCTAGTGGCCCGTGATTCTCCTAGATCCAGAGCTATGAAAAGTGACAGTTACAGAGCTGATTCCAAGTCTGGAACATTCCAAATGTTGTCACTTCGTATGTGACTGAGATTGAGCATAGGGAACTAGGGCTGTGAGGCCGCTGCCTCTGGAAGGACAGTGAGGCACCTGCTGCTGCTTCAGCTAACTGTGTGCAAGTGTGTGTGTGCGCATGTGTGCATCACTCCCTGCTTGCCCAGGATCTGATGGAGGGCCAAGTCTGGGTTTCGTCCAGCACCTACTCACTGGTACGTGTACTTCAGTGTTACTTAACCTTGCTGGTCTTCTTTGTACTTGTCTTTAAAATGGAGTTTTTGCACAGTACTAACAAAATGCCTAGAAACCAGTAAATATTTGGTAAATGGTAGATATTATTACTATTATGATGAATAATGACCCCAAGTACTTCTATTTTGAAATGATGTTTATAGAATGAAGTCATTATTGCTTTTTGCCCTGAGCTAAGAGAATAAAACATTCATACTAGGGTGACTTCCCCATGGAGACAATCATTTGATAATCGATTTCATCTCTGGGCTGGGTTCCTCTTGGTGCTGCTATGTGCAGAAATAGCAAAACACTCCTCTATTTTACAGGCCACCGAGTCGAAGTGTATTGCTTTTGGGGGAAAACCCCTTCCCCCCAAAATACACAATGATGTGTGTATGTGAAAGCCATCATATTCTACATGCTTGTTACCTAACCTGTGCAAACCAAACCCCCTGAGATCTATCTACTAAAGATAAATAAGTCAGGGAGGTGGAGCAGGCAATCTTTGAAGTGGGCTTAAATTAAAAAGCATAGGCATTCAGGCAGGCAGAGGAAGGAAGGAACATGCTGTACCCACCTGCCACTGCTGATGAGGGGCTTATTTCTAAGACACATACAGCACAATGCACACACAATGCAGAGAGAAAACAAAAGACATAGATCACACATTTCAGATGGTTGGTGGACAAAGTTTAGTTAATGTCAATGCTGAAAGCTTGTTCCGGGTCTGAGATATACATGGGAAAATGAACACCTTTTCATCCCACTCACCTCTAACAAAATCTCAGCAAATAAACAAGTACATACACACACAAAATATCACAACAAGCTGACCCTGGCCCATGATGTGAAATGTGGCACAAGGAGATGGACACAGCAATGTGGGAAGGCTGAGTGAGGGAAAGATAAGGGCTTCCAGTGGAGCCAGTCAGGGCTCTGGAGACCTCTCCATCCATATGGGAGGAAAAGGCCTTCAGAGAAGGGTTTGATGCTCCAGCTGTGGACAGAACAGTCGTCTTGATGAGGACTCAGACTACTGCTCCACCCACTCCAATCAGTGAGAATGTGACATGGCAGTCAACATGAGCATCATGATGGCAGCAGTTGACTTGGTTCAAATCTATGAATATAACCCCCAGAATTATAGACTCTTCCTATAGAAGGTATCTTAAAAGTGTATCTAACTCACCCCCACAGACCATTAGATACTACAACTGAACTATTCCATGGTTCTATGTTTTTTATGGCAACCACCATTCAGCTTGGTTCAGAATTGGGTCTACTCCTTTTATAAGGTGCAAACCTTGCCTTTCAGTGGACCAGGAGATATCAACTACCTTGCAAACATCACTGTATCACATGCTTAGGAGAACGACAGGGAGAAGCACGTCGTATCTAAGGGTGGTGGGTTGAGCAGTATGGATGGACACAGGCCAAGCAGATTGAGCCTTCCTCCCTCTACAGCCCGAAGTTCTCCCTCATGGACGAGCCCACTGCATCCAGGCTTCCTGCACTCACCATACAGTGTGATGCTGGCGTTGCTGTTCCCAAGCTTATTTGTAGCCACACAAGTATAGTTCCCATAATCCTTTTCCGAAACATTGAAGAAAGTCAGAGTGGATATGTGGCCTTTGTTCTCAATCCTCACACCGCCCAGGCCAGTGGCTAGCCTGCAAGAAGAGAAGGTATTGCTGGTCTGGTTCTACAAACAGAGTGAAATAGCAGACAGAGATGCTGGCGGGAACTGAAAGATACCAGAGATGAATCCTACAAGGAGGCCCTGCTCACAGACACCTTTCCTCGAACTGACCCAGTCTCTTTAACCCAAAACATGAGTACCACAGCCTCCAGAGGAGGAAAAAGGAAAGGATATTCATGCTCCAAAGGTGAGGTTCACTGGCTTCTAGGCATTGAGGGCTGCCATGTCCCTAACTAATCTCAGATTCTGAAACCAAGTCAATTCATTTTCCCACTTGCCAGCTTCCTTGATTTTTTTGTTTGTTTCTGGTTCTAAAAAGAGACTCTGTTATAAAGGAGACAAATGCATTTTGGTTTTGCCACATCTTTCCCCTTTACTTTATCATTCCCTTTCCATGTGGGGAATGCTCCATCAGCTCTGCTTCAGATATGCCCTATTTCCATTTTTAAGGTACCTGGTATCTTCCTTGAACCACTGGAATTCAGCCATAGGCACCGCAGAAGCTTCACAGCTCAAGATACCCTTCTGACCAACAGACACACCAGTGTTCTTGGCTTTTGAGATATAGGGAGGGTCTGCAGGAGGAAAATGCAGAGTGATTTCACAAAACAAATGAAAGGCACATTTAGTCACCTGCTGTGCAAATGGATTTCTTGTGCCACCCCACCTTCCCAGTTAAATAACCATTTATTTTAGGAAAAGAATTTCTTGCTCAAGGATATTGCATTTACCCCAGCATCTTCTTAAGCCTTCAAACCAATTCAAAGTTAACAATTCTCCCCATTAGCTAAAACTCTGATGGGCACAGGTAGATTCCAGGGGAAAATGGCAGTGGAAACAGTCATGGTGCAAAGCAATGTGGCACAGTATTTTCCTGTTGGAAACAATTTGGGATGGTCAGAAAATGGCATTGCCATGACCAGCTTGTTCCCTCAGTCCCTATATTCTCTTTTCCTCTGAAACTTCCTGACAATGGGTCAACTCACAGTTTACAGTGATTTTTACTTTCCGCACATCAGGTGCAGCCACATCATTCAAGGCGCTGCATTCATATTCCCCAGACTGGTCACGTTTGATGTCAGAGATTTCCAGGTATTCATCCTCACTCACAAAGCCCTGGCCTTCTGGGAGGAAAGAAAGAGAAAGAAACAATCAAGAAACCGTGAAACCAGGGACAGAACTATATTCACATCATGAGCTTGGAGGGGAAGGAATACAAAAAGCTGTAAAAATGAGGTTTGAACATTGAGTCAAAGATTATAAGATATCATGTTGACCAAATAGTATGGCATTTGGAGAAAGAAATTCTCTGCCTGAGTCTTGGGTCATTGTGTTTTTGTCCAACTCACTTTAACTTTCAGACCATTTGAAAAGAAAAGATTTTCATTATTTTTCAAATATGATTATGATGAGGATTAACTAAGAGAATATGTGTGAAAAATTCCAGTACATTACTAAACTTCGATCTTTTAAAGAGAATTGTAATATATGTATATATAAAAAATAAAAAATGTGGGAATAACTTTAGACTATGTTAGCATGGGCATCTTAACTTTTCATTATGTAGAAATCCCTTTGTGGGGTGCCTGGGTGGCTCAGCCTGTTAAGCATCTGGCTCTTGATTTTGGCTCAGGTCATGATCTCACGGTCATGAGATTGAGCTCCTAGTTGGACTCCATGCTGGGTGTGGAGCCTGCTTGAGATTCTCTCTCCCTCTCCCTCTGTCTCCCACCTCTCTCTCTCTCAAAAAAAAAAAAATTCCTTTGGATATGGAACACAAACTACTAACTACTTGTAAAATAAATAAGTGACCATTTAATAGTTTAATACAGATCGATGCAAAGCAGTTGATTTGGTTTCAAACTGTCCTGGAGTAGATGAACTGGAGAAAGAATGAATGTGGAAGCATTTTGTAACCGCTATGCATTTGGTGCTCAATAAATGATTGCCAACGTAAGATAAATGTGGTAGCCCCAAATGATGGATCCATGGTTACTAGAACAGCCTTGTGGATTTAATACCCAACTTTGTGGGACATTCTGGAGACTTTATTCCTAGGCACTTCTGAAGCTTGGAACTCATGATCCAAAATATTGTACGGTCACAAAATGTACATTGTTTGCAATCACCATTCTGTGTCTTACAACAATCTGGCTCCTCTCTCTCATCCCTCATCCCCCTCCCTGTGGTTCAGTGCAAAGAGAATGGACCCTCTGTCTTGAACCCCAAATGTTTTCAGTTCTGTCAAAGCACCAGGGTCCTGTGAAAACCCAGCCAACACAAATGCCAGGGACGAAATATAGTCATTTGCCTTTCTTGTAGGCCTGCTGCCTGATTCTTTTTTGTGCTCCAGGCATTAGAGTGAAACTAGTTTTCAGGAAGATAAAAACTCATTATAACTTTCCTCACACCCCCATATAAACTTATTCTTATCCAGTGGGTGTTCAGTCAACGAAGTCTATGTCAACCATGGATGTGGAGGAGCAGGAAGGTGAGGGGTAGGGTGATGGGCAGGGGTAGGGAGGCAGGTGCTTTAGCATCCTGACTTTGCTCCAAGTCTAGCCCTTGGGGAGTTTCCACCAACCCTGTCCATTTCCTCAGACCAATTGCTTTTCAGCTCCTGTTGCTTTCCCTGCCTCCACCCCCCACCCCAAGTCCCAACCACCCAGGCTCTGCCGTCAGTTACACCCGTACATCCCAAGCAGGTGTGGGTCCCCTGGCAAAGTATTTTTCAAGAGGTCCCTCTCTATATAATCAAGCAGAGTCATCCAACATCAGCACCATTCTGGTAACCCAATCTCATGCAGTTACATGAAAGAAATCTTGCACCGTCAGGAGAAGCAATCCTTTACCACCCTCCTAGAACCTGGACCTGTAGACCGGGTCCCAGAACAAGTCCACAGGTGTGAGTTTGGGGATCTTGGGGAATCTGGTTGAACCCATGTGAAGAATGGCTGAGAGTAGAGGTTGGAAACGCACCCCACCCTGAAGGGGAATAATTGGGCCCAGGACAGGACACGCGCTCCCAGTCTAGAATCTGAGTATCTCTCCCTAATGGTATTGCTGGCCTAGGCTGGTCCCAGGCACCAGAGGAGGACTTAGAAAATGTCAAGGAAGACACTCCAGAGCATGGCGCCCCCTGGGGCTTAGGTAGGGCCCTATTCACCAGGATCTCAGGGTAGTGGTGCTGGTCACAAGCCCTCCACTGCAGCAGACATTTAATCATTCAGGCTAGTTCATATCCTAATTCCTCAAGATTTATTAGAGGGATAGAAACATCTTCTCATCCCTTTTTCCTTATTTCTCTCAGACTTAACAGAATCTCATAGTTGAAGTAGATTTTAAGATCACTTATTTCAGGAAGTCTATAAAGATAATAATGGCCTCACTTATTGAAATGATGTTGGTTGACCAATCTAAGTATTTTTAAGGCTTAAACAACAATGAAATCAATCACACAAAACAACTTCCCAAATTCACTATACCTTTTCTGTAATGAATAAGTATGGTGTGATCAAAAAACTGCCTCCCTACTACTAAGATGCCATGATTTTTTCAAAATGTGCTACAGTGCATTTGCCACAAGTAATTAAACCCTAATGCATCTGACCAAACAAAAGAGCCACCTGCAGTAGGTCTGGCAGGAGCCTCAGGCAGGGTCACTGAGCCGCTTGCCTTGCAGAGAATGAGATAGATCCATATCATGCTACATGGTACACACTGGACACATGTCTTAAAGCCCCTGATAAAGCAGCTTTATAGAAGCCAGTCAACTTAGAAGTGTTGGCCTGTGCAAACGGATGGGGTCACCTCAAAGAAGATGGAGGCCAATGTGCTGGGACCCTGAGTAATTCTCTGCATCTGTATGAGTAGGGCAGATCTTGGGTCCTTCGTGTAGGAATTACTGGACGACACAGCCACCCGCTGGAATGTGGGAATGTATTTTCACTATTTGTGATGTTGTTTTTTTGGGACACTTAGATGACAGCAAAAAAGGGAGGAAGGAAGAGAGTGTTTGGTGTGAAATGGGGATCGTTACAATACTACTACCTCATTAAGTGAGAGGATGAATTTTGTCAAGTTTGTACTATAACGTAAGTGATTCTCAGATTTTCATTTGCATATAAATTCCTCTGGGATCTAAAAAATCCATAGATTCTGATTCAGTAGGTCTAGAGTGGGGCCTGGGGTTCTGCATTTCTAACCAGTGCCCAAGGATCTCCATGCTGCTGCTCTGGGGCCCACGCACTGAGCAGCGAAGTTACAAGGCACCACCCGTGCTCTTCTCAGATCACTCTTGTCACCCATGTGCAATTATCTGTGCCTGCGAAGTGGCCACTTGGTCAACAAAGCTTACTGAGCTCCTCTCATGCAGAGATCCTTGGGGAGTCTGCATCTCAAAAGACACCCTCTTTGGAGAATAGCGCTCAGTCAGGTGCACTGAGGCCAAGGATCTGGACCTCTGAAGCTAAATTTTCAGTGTTTATGGTCTTACTACAAAGCATGCATTCTCTCAGTTGTCTTTGCTAAGAAATGAGAAGAGGACTTTGAAACTGCTCCCCATCTTAAGCCCACTAAAGGTGATTGAGATGTCATTTTTGTTACTGCTTTGAATACTGGGTGAACAAATCGAGCTTGCTAAATGCCTAGAGATCTAGGAAACTGCAGGGTCGAATGCTTTCCCTGGCATCTCCGGGTCCAGTTGCAATGTCAAATTCTGATTCCATGCTGCATCGAAAGGGGCAGAAGGCAACAAATGTTTTAATCCTCTTTGCTGGCTGCCAGGAAGACAAACTGCTGAGAGGGAGAAGAAGAGAGAAGAGGGGCAGGGAGAAACACGAGGGAGGAACAGGAGAGGAAGGAGAAGGAGGTATGAAGAAGGAATGAAAGACAGAGGGGGTGCCGAAAAGATGGCCTGGGTGCCACTGGACAGATTCTGAAGACACATTCAAAAGGGATTAAAGGAAAAATACAGGCTAAAGGACTACAATATTTTCTCTGACAAAATGTATGAAAACGGGAGTCCCAAATCAACTGCACAATTTTGCTTTGTGATGAGATGTCCTTTAATAAGCCAATAACCCAAAGGCATTATCAACCTGCCCTATGCATTCAGACATCCCCATATACCATTACTGGAAGCAAAAGGAAGTGTATTCTGAATCATTGGCAAAAATATATTTTTAAAAAGGGGTTATTTCTTCCCACAGATGAGTACTTTGGAGAAGGTAAGTTTAATTCACTGTATTAGTGAGATTAAGAGCTGCAAGAATACAAATGGGGCCATTTATCAGGGTATGTGGGAGGTCCGTGGGCCAGGACTCCTCAGTTGCAAAACGCGTGAGCAGGCCCCATGGTTATGTGGGCACAGTGGGCTTCTTCTGCAGGGAGGCAGATACTGACCCAGTCACAGACCACAAAGAACAAGCAGTGGCCGTGAGCAGGGTCTACCATCTTAGAAACAGAGGAGCAGACTGAGAAACTGCTTCAGGGAAGGACCCCTGGTGTGACCTGCTTTCCCTGACATCACCTGCAGTCATTCTATGCACATGTACCGTGAGAGAAGCACTGGGTTAGACACTGGGTGTAGGGTGGAGACGAGGTAGAAGACAAGGTCCTTGACCTTGGGTAGTCTACAATATCATGAGCCCAGAACTGGAGCAGTTTATATTTTTCTATCCCTAGGCTCAGTTTTCAGCTCCTAATTGTTTTTACATCCTGCTAGTAAAGGATGGTGGTTCAGAAAGATTTATTAGAGCTGGAAGCAACCTAAGCATTCAGGGATGAAGAGATCAAGTAGGAAATCCAGAGTAAAATCAGGACGCTCCCTGATCTTGTTCACTTCTTTCTTTCCCCCTTCACATCCTGTCCTTCCATGCCAGCTATCTCTCAGCCACCACTCGTATGCCCAGTTTTTCTTTTCTTCATACAATTCCTTAGAATTGTACAGTTCTAAGCACCATGAGGGCTCAAAGATTTTAGTCTTCCTTTTTTTTTTTTTTGGATTATTGTTCCTGATGGAGTATCTTCCCCCACCCTGGGGATGATTTCAGAGGGAGGCCTATTCCTTTGCTAAACTGTTCACATCATCCAAAACAATCATCCTCATATTGAGGCAACCCCT